TGAGTGCATACAATAGGAAGCTATTCATATTAAATGATAATTCCTTGCTTTTCACCAGACAAAAATTTTCTCCAACACTGGCTGTGACTAAAACCAAGTCTAATTATTACATTATATTATTTATGGCTTCCTTCCAAAACTTAGACTCAGAAGAATTGCAGCACAGAAAACTCATCCCAACTGTTGCATGGCCATTCTATCAGACAACTGGGAGGAAGTTTGTCTGATGTTACAAAGTGTTTAAATTTCAACCTGGAGCCACTTCTGGGAATTAGCAAGTAAGAAACAGAAAGGGAGGGTGCTGGAAAAATAGCCAGCTAACAAGTACACACATACTGAAAAAAATGTAAATGAATACAAAGGGAGAAGGCTATTTGCAGGAACCTATAACAAAGGAAGCCTTTATGGAATTCACCACCTCTACTTTGTATAAGTAGATTTCTTCATTAAGTTCTTTTCTTCCATGAAGATACCAGAGCTCTTATAAAATGTGCAGACATTCCTGGTGGAGAAGACTTCTTAAAAAAGTCATTGCCTGGCTTCTGCTTTGGTTTAATAGTACTGAAGGAAACGGGATCACCTCTTTGGGAAGAACACCAATGGAGCCAAAGGAACAGAATTTTTAAGAGAACACAGAGAACAATCCTTGGATGTTAACTCCACAACACAGTATTATTTCTGAAGAACTAGAGAAAACTACTTTCAGGAAAAGAGTCAGAGTAAATCACACTTACAAAAGTTATAATAAGTCATTTAACTTTAATTGCTATGAAATAAGGACAATTTTTTCTTGGATTTGAAAAGAGGTTGGGTAAAAGAACCAAGGTTCAAGCTCCAACAAACCATCATGCACTGTCCAGCAAACAACTCACTGCTTTGTGGATGTAGATATGAGGAACGTACAAAAAGTGGGAAAACATTTCGTCAGGTTTATGGCTGTAAGGACTGACACTTGGACCTACAAACCAGTATTAAGGCCCATACTGAAAACCGTTCAATAGGAATTCAAAGATGGAACTGATGGATGCTTGTGGTGGCTGAAATTTCTGAGACTCGCGCACCAATAGAGGAATCCTTCCGACGAAAGGCTTAAACAAGTTAAAATGTTCAAAGCTGGTGCAGTACATCTTACCCAAGAACAGCAACCAAAGTACCATACCACTAACCTTTTGGCTGTTAAGTTTAACCTGGTTAGATTCAAGTAAGTAATAATGATGCCATTACACACTCTTGTATAGTGCTTTTCATCTCTAGGTCTCAAAATATTTTAATGCAGTGGCCAGTACTACCATTGACATTTTTACAGATGGTAAAACTGAGACTCAAGGAAGAAAGTGACTAGACACCAATACAGCAGACCCCTGATGGATGAGAGAAAGAAGCTATGGGCCTGACTATTTTATGAAGTTTATAGGGTCCTTTCAAATCAAAAGAAAGCAAAATACCATCCTTCTCTGCTTGACTGCTCTTGATTTTTGACAACCATTCTTGCTACAAGAGAATGAGAAAAACTCTACCGCCAGACCCGATCTAGATGAAAGACGGAGCACTTACCCTCAAAAATGGGCGTCTCCATGCTTTGTACAAACTGTTCTTGATCTCTTATCCAGTAACCAAATGTTCATGATTAAGAACCCCATTTTCAAATACAGAGTTCAGTTTCCAAAAATTCAGTCTGCTGAATGGCTGTTCTTTTTGAGCCATTTTCCCTTGTAGTTGGCTGAAACAAAGAGGTGAGAACTACAGAACCACCCCACTGCTTTCTATAAGCAACTGAAGTACAGTAGTTACATTCTATGATTTGGTCTTCATATTGAGTTTGCATTGTGAACACAACATGTACCAGTAATTTGAGTTCTACCCCAGACCTGGATTCCTATTCACATACAAAAGATCCCCCACTCAAATTATGTGGTGTTTTAAACTTGCATGAGTTTGTTGGGGATGGGTTGGTGCTGTAGTGCTGCAGACACTTGAGCTACTAAGGTAGCTGGGATGCAGCAGCTTGAGTTAAAACAGCTCATCAGATGCTTCTGCAATCACCCTGTGTAGCAAAGATGCTCTCTTGCATGTTCACTTTCACTTGAATGCAGTACCACAAGTATAACTGTCTGAGTGAAGACAAGCCCCTTCTGTATTGCTGAAATACAGTGAAGGCAGAAAATGTTAAATGGCCTGTGTTAAATACTCACTGGCTTTAGGTTGAGCACACAGATGTTCTTCTTAATTTCTCACACAGACCAGACCCCCTGACATAATTATAAGCAAATGTACACCCCACCACTGAAAGATGGCAACTGTTGTGGTCTGGAGAGAAGGGGAGACAATTTGAAAAATCTTCCTAAATTAAGTAGTGTACAAATTAGCCACCATTTTAGGAAACAAACAGCAAATCAGACTGAGGAATACTGTTACTGGTTTTGAATACAGAGGAAGAAAATTTGAACTACTTCATATTCAAAATGCCCCACAGAAACATACCATCAAGCAGATACATATCCATGCGAAGAAAGATTTAGGGTTTAAAAGATTAATATTGTACTTTACAACCTGGGTATTTTTCAGAGGTTGGGAGAATAAGTGCGTCTACAAAGTCAGAAAATTAGGATCCCAGGTGGCTTGAATCTTATGAATGCTTCTCTAAATTAGGAATAAAGCCTTATACCTTTAGCAACTTGGCTGTGTTGGGGAGTAATAAAGCAGTAGAAGAGGAAGCAGAGAAGGAAACCAGATCAGCATTGGGGGGAAATGTCTCTCAACTGGACAGAAGTGACTTAAAAGGAAGAACCAGGGCAGTAGTTTCTTTCAGATACATATGAACCTCTAAATTTAAAAGCCTATACGAAGTCAAAATATCAGATGGTGTTGTCTCTCTCTAGGATATTTATACAGACAAGGAAGAGCTAACAAGCATAGCCTATGGACTAGGAGAAACCTGCAGATTTTGGAGATTTAGGAAGAGAAGCTGAAGATCTCTGGGGTGACACTAAAGGAAACAGTCTTAAAGCTGAGCGAAGAACTGTTGCAATTCCTGAACTTGATTCTGCTGTATTGTAAAAAAAACCTTCCCTCTTGAGAAAGGACAAAGTGCTGGGGGCTGCTATGCCATATTAATCTAGTACAAAGATCCGTTTCTTTTGGCAAGGAAGCAGAATTGCTTAAATCTACATGGCTGCTAAAGATGGAACAACTCGTAGCAGATGACTAGTCCAATTACATGATGCCAGACCATAAAGGCAGCTGGCTATGGTTGCAAATAAATGACAGTGGTTTGCAAAAAACTAATGTGAAAAAAAACAACTTCTGGAGAAAGACCTTATGAGATCTTAAGTGAGAAGATCTCATAAGACTGGGTAGGTGGAGGAAAAACTGTATCAACAGAGAACAGTACAAAACTATCAGAGACAAGAGAACAGGGAATTGAAAAGCAGTAAGAACTGCATTATAGAGGCTATAACAGATGTGGATGGGAGTGGCTTTATAAGCAGAAATACACTCTGCTAGTATTGTCAAAATTTCTGGTCTCACTATAATCCTGATCTTAAATTCTCTGATTCCAAATGTTTTATTCATCTGAAGTCTGACTACATGTTAAAAGAGAATCCAATGCAAATACTAGTCGATTAAACATGCAGCTGCACTCTCACTAACAACTTTTCCTGTTTAATTGACATTTTTTCAGTTAAAGTTATGTTAGATATCACTATACGGAATACTAGTAATCCTGCTTATAGTTAAAGTTATCCAACCCTAAATTATTTTTAACTGTATGAAAAAGCAGGAATGTGACCTTTTAAAGACAAACACAATTTATGAATAAATTAAACGTAAAATAGTTTTATGAAATGATCACTCTTTTTGCTGGTGTCTTTAATGCATGCGTTTATATGAAATATGGGAAAGGATGCAGTCAACCTCAATGGTGAATATGAATTTCTATACATTGTTGAGTGAAAATGTTTGTATAACACAATGTTTGTGTAACAGTTAAATTTCTTGCTGCTAATTAGCTACTCTAAAATTAAAAGTAATAACCTCTTTTTGTTACTATTTTCACAAAAGTGTGACCACATCAATCCTATTCCTGGTAATTTTACTTTCATAAACTCTTGTTAGAGCTTACAAGTCAAACAGACATAACTAATCAAAACCCTAATCCTGCAAACTTTTTCCAGGGAAATTTCTGGTTTTGAAGCAACAGAAGTTTGGTTCACAAAGATTTCTAAAACAATGTCCGTAGTATGTATGTGTGCTAATAAGTTTAAAGTTGGCTCAAGAAAGTTGCTCTTAGCCTTAAATAATTCTGTGCCTTGCAAATAAAATATTTAACTCACTGAAGTGAAAGATAAAACCGTGCACACCATTTAAGTCAATAACTTATGAAAGCTTTGCTCTTCATGTATTATGTTATCATTTTTTCTGGTTTCAGATATTAATCACTTTCTGAGTTATGGCTATAGCTTGAAAAAGCTTAAAAGGAACACTGTCAAATGAAAGTCCCAATCATGCCAAGAAATACACACAATCAAACCACTATGTCTATAATGAGCTTCCACAAAGTCAACTGGACTCTGTACAAGCAGCCACTCTATGCGCTACTGATTTCATGATCAGGGCTTAAATCTGTATCCAACTTTAATTTTTCTGCAAACACAGTAATTGATTTAAATGTTTTGTTTATAATAAAATGCTCTTTAGTAACAGTGAAGTTTGTCTGAAATATATAATTTTACAGCCTAACTTTAAGGAACTGTCACACTGACCTACGGCATTTAAAAGTGAGTCAATATATTTTCTAACCACTGAATTTTTTGTCACCTGACAAATAAAACTGTTAACATTCTGAGATTAAGGAAGTGAAACTTCCTTTTAGGAAGAATTCAGGCAGGTTTAAAAATTGTGAACATAAGTTTTATTATAACAGCCATACATTAAAAAAGGAAGAAAAAAAAGCAGCAAGAAAATTTCAACTGTAACGATAATTTGTAATAACCACACACCTGTAAAAGCTGAAGGCACTTCATGCGACATCATATGGAGAGGAAAATAATTGAGGAAAGATGTTAATTTTAATTATTGGACATGCATGAGGTATCCTTCCACACACTGTACAATAAATAGCATTCAATGAGGCACAAAATAGTATTCAGATTAACAGATTTTGGAGAATACAACTTTAAAGAATCAAGACATTCCAGCATTCACAAAGACAAAATAATTTGATATTTACAGCCTAATCAGGATAGGTAGCAATGTTCACAGACTTTTGATTCGAGTTAATAGCAAAGAGAGAGTAGGAAGTCAAAAGGCTGCAACATGGGATATTCTGGATTGCAGAAAAATGTTCTTAAATTAAAAAACAATCTAAAAAGAATAAATTTCTCAACATTTGCACATTGGACTTTTACATAATTTCAATGTATTGGATGATGCTTATAAATGCTTTAGCGTTATTGCTGCATAATCAAAAAATGATAAAAAAACTGGCATTTAGATAGCATCTTACTGTTTCATTCTTTTTACTCATTAAGACTTATCTGAATGTAATCAATGGAAAAAGTCTATGACTTTCAGTAATCAAGACAATCAAATGGTCTTTAACAGGCGGATGATATGACATTCTCATTCATTATTGGAGGGAACTGTCATCACCAGTGATGAACTGTCTGTATCTAGTTTTAAAAATAAGACAGTGATATTATGAGAAAAAAAGTTATCAAGTACGAAAACAAGTGACATCTTTATGTGCATAAACAGTCAACTTGGAGGGTGAACAAAGGGTGCGCTTATAAACTATACTAAATTATTCTATAAGAACTTTGTAAAACAAATCATGATATAAACAAAGGGGATGGAAATACAAATCGGTTACTAGGTCATGAACTTTCAATCTGTGGCAGCACAGAAACTTAGCTATAAAACAAGAAATACCATAGTATTCAGTTCTGAAAACTCTGGTTAACACACATCAGGTAATAGACTCCTTACTTCTATTTCTGCAGACTCCACACGATTCTCAACAATCTCAATGCACTGCCTCTTGACTGGTGGTTCTTCACTGATCACAGTTTCTTCAGCAATGTCTGTTGCTGGTACTGTTAATACTTCAATCAAAACACATTTGCATAGATAAATATAAAGACAAAGCATGGTATTTACATTAAATAAAATTATTATTTAATTATATGAACTTCTATTTTCAAGAGTAAACTTAAAAGCCAGATTTCCAATGGGGTAAAAACATAGCTTGGTGGAAATCTGCAATAAAGGCATCAATAGAGTATTTACTGAAAATTGTAACTACTTTTATGGCATTTTCTACAGCTCTTTGTTACGTTAGGATCGCAACACATCATGTGGCTATGTTTTATGCATCTCTCCCTTCCCCTGCAAGGCTGCGGG